AGACGTTTCCTCATCGACTGTTTGACGATGGGTGGACATTTACAGGGCAGATCATAACATGCTGTCACAAGCAGCAGCGACAGCGAGCAGATAGAAGCAGCTTGCATGGCTCTGCACAGCCCTGCATGAGCCACTGTTCTCTTTTTCCAGTTCAGTCATTTTTTTTGACATTAATCCCACTTTCCAAACCAATACTCATTGTTAACGTATTTTATACATGTTGGGTGAGAAAAACAGCAGGAAGATCTTCTACCTCATTAATTCATATGGAGGCCTTAATAAAATGAGATAAGTCTTCCCCCATTTTGCTGTTTACCCCAGTGTTGTGTCTCGTTCTGAGAGGTACAAATGTATTGATTGGCTTTCGATCAAACTGGCAAGTACGGATGTGGCTACGTTGGTTGGTTCTGAATAGTTTGTTTATCCTGAAGGGACGTTGAGTCAGAGAGGAATGTTTTACAAATACAAACTGAGCTGAAAGTTCCTTATTTTTGAAGAAATAAACACTCCGTTAAGAACCGAAAATAAGGACCATGTAACAGGACACAAAGCCAACAAATCCCAAAGCAACAAACGATTAAAGGTACGTCCTTCTATCTCTCTACTTCACTCTCTCTCTGTCACACAAACACACACACCAAACACACACACAATAAATGGAAATGAAACCGCTGTTCTATTTGTGTAGTTGTACAAAAATGGGAGGCTTGGAATAAAATGTGATCCTTAGAAATAGCGAACATTCACATTGGTACATTTTTAATATTTTATTAATATTCTTTCTGTGCATATTTTAGTATACAAGAGTTGTAAAACAATGAACACAAACAATCAGGTAAAAAGGTTAAGAGATTTTGCAGTTTAACGTCGACAGCAACCTGGGTGGTGACTCCTAGCATTTATGAAGTAATTAAGATTTTAAAAACAATCTATAAACAGCAATGGTTTTGATAAAAAAAAAGAAAATGGCAGGAAGTTAACTGCAATCACAGCTGTGAACTTTCAGAGGACTCACAGAAATTACACGTCAACATTAAAAACAAATTTAATCCAGATTAGCAGCCTCATTAACCCTTTATCCAAGCCCCCCCCCCCTCACCCACAGATTCTCTCTGAAGAACACGCAACAGATTTGGATTCAACGAGCCATTTTAAATGAATGCCCCTCATCTGTGTTGGTGAAGCTTAAGGCTGGATTCCCACCCGCCTGGATATGCAGGGCTGCTCCAGTTGCAATAACGCTGCCAAGTGGAGCTTTTGCACCGATTCTTAAATTTCTTCACAGGAGGATTAACAGTAGTGACAACAAGTTTACAAAAATACTGGGAAGTAGCAAAGGCATTGCTGATATCCAGGGATATGGTGGCCAGCAAGAATATTGATGGGAAAGGGGTTGTTGAATCCAACATTCTGCATGTCCACTTCCACTCCCTTATTCCCTAAAACTTTATCTTCAGGAGTATTCCAGTGCATGAAAATATGTAACCCTCCAGTTTTTAGGCCAGTTTTTAATGATGCAGTGCAAAGTCAACTGGTAAACAGTGCATTCATTCATTTACAACAAGCAGAGATGACAGAACCTGCAGTCACAAGATACCAGAGCCTTTCCCTCGATCCTCGTTTCTTTTATTTTTGCTCCTCCAAACCCTAATTTGGTCAAACGCCTCTCCCAGCACAGCCAGACAAGTCTCCACGCTTTAAACCTCCCCTCGTGCAACTCTGCCGCTTCACTCAATTTCAACCCAATTCCAGATTTGCTCACTGGACACAATAGATGGGTTTGTGTGGCAGATGTTCAGCCAAATTCAGACGATAAGGTTCAAAGCTAATCTACGGCCATGGCAGTAACCCGAGAGAGGCTGGTGGAATAACTAGTAATACTTGGTACTGTTCTAACTGAACAGGCAACAGTTGGGGAAGATGCAATATTGCTTCAGCAACCCAATGTTAAATAACAAAGCATTTAGCTTCTACAGCAGGTCTCGTTATTATAGGTTTTAAACATTTGTTCCCATTTGTTTTGAAAGATGGCAATGTTTTAATAAACTATAATATCAAGCCAGTTTTCGGTCGCTTGGCCTATTATAGGCCAGGGGTAAACGAGTCCCTGGCAGAAGTGGGGGGTTGCACAGACTTGGCATTTACACAGGACTTGGAGAGCTGTGGCATTCTGTGATCCCAGCCGAGGAACAGGAGCTTCTGCGGTTAAAGAACCAAGAGGGTGAAACCCTGAATGTTCGTTCGGCCGTGCTGTTGTACAAAATAGCACTGAAGATTTTTAGGGTTGATTTTCTTCCCAGATTTGACAAAAAAAAAAAAATCGGGGGTGGGCAGGAGGGGGAATGAGTGATGGGGAATGTGAGGGGGAAAGGATTAATCCAGCTAGAGAAGTTAAGTGCAAGAAACTAAGCACTTTTTGTTATTTTTGTTTCAGTGCTTTTAGTTTTAAATTGAACAGAAGTAGGAATAGGATCTGTACTGAGGGACGGCTGGTGGTGGCGAGGTGAAGGACCAGCTATATGTAGAAACCAGGGGAATATTTGGTCAAAAGACAGTGGTCTCAAGTTGGTATATGCCTCTCACACCCAACAGAATTTATCCAGCACTGATCCACAGACGAAACCATGGTACAACCCGGAGAATGGCAAAAAGGTTGCAGTTGCAACAGGTTTATTTCAAAACGCATCCCACTTATGACTAAAGGGAACACTATTGACAAATATATATAAAAAAAGTTTTCATTCTTAAAGCAGCTACACTATTTTTGTTTAACACACATCTGAGGATCTCGTACAACAATACAATGTTCAAAACATTTTAAAAAGAAAAGCTGTGATAAAAATGAATACGTGTTGCATCCTCAGACATATAGGAACTCAAAATACAAAGGAAAATACTCAAGATTCACACTAATAACTTTTTTTAAAAAATAAGTTAGGCTCCTTGAAGATACCGTTTTAACTAATTCCTCTTCTATGTTGACATTTTCTCCAAATAATAGCCAGAAAAGCCTTCAGAGTATAGTTCTGCCTGTGGTACGTAGCGAAGATTGACAAATATTTTATCGTACTTTGATGTCTGGAGACTCTCGGAATTTTTTTAAAAATAAAAACTGTAGCATCTTGCTATCTAATAAAAATATGAATTTCAAACCGGTTAGAAACAGGTTATCACTGAAATTCTAGGACGGTCACTCCTTAACAAGTGTCCAACATGGCCAGTTCAGATTTGATTGTGTGTGTGTGTGTGTGGAGAGGGGGGATGTAGCTTTATAATTTTGCAGCTCAGTGTCTAAATATAACCAAAGATTGACCAGTGGGGAGCAGGTTCAACTGACAAGAAAAAGCAACATGAGAATTGAATAGAAATGTACCAACATCAAGAAAGTGAGAAAAAACACAGTAAGTGAGAAAAGGGAGAGAGAGGAGAGAAAAAGGAACATTTCCAGAAGTACCTCGACAAGCTTCAACAAAAAAGTCTCAGCAGAACGCTGTGCGTACATGGTATAAATGATCTGAACCTAGTCTGGATTATTCTATTCTCCCGGGTCCTGCTCAATTAGCGAACCCTCCCCTTCCTTCCCACCACAATAACAACTCGAAAAGGTTTGAAAACTTCCAGTTTCAAAGTCAAGTCCTACATAAAATATTCTGCACCACAAGCCTTACGATAATCCACTTGCTGACTTGGCTCCATGCATAGTTTTGGAGCTGCGGCCGGTTTAACAACAGACAGTTTATTATTATTCCCTGCAGAAATGCCCAACTTCTCTCCCCCCCCCCCCACTTCCAAATTGTTGGGAGACTTTCTGACTTCTCAACAGCATCTCCGGCCTGTATGAGGTGGAGCTCTCCGAGACCCTGCCCTGCTTACAGGGGCGCTAATATAAATGCAAGCTGTTGTTGCTGGAGGCACGCTTGCTACAAAGATAAGAGAAGGGCACAAGCCGTTTGTACACAAGAGTATGCTACCTTAAGACCAAAAGCATCACACTCCGCTAATTAATTAAACTAGTCCAAGTAACAAGAGTCCTGGAGCCCTGTAGCTCAGTGGTTAGAGCACTCGCTTTGCAAGCGAGAGACCCGGCAGGGCGAAACCTTGGGCAAGTTTCCTTCCTTAATCCCTCAAAAAACCCAAAACAATAATAAAAATTGGTCATTTTCAATCTACGACTGTTTGTGGGACATTGCTGTGCGCAATTGGCTGCCGCGTTCGCCCACAAATATACAGTCAATTCACTTTACAGTGTGTTCTGTGAAGCGCTTTGGGACGTCCTCCCGACGTGAAAAGCGCTATATCAAATGCAAGGATTATTATTATTATTATTATAATAACAAGAGCACGGCTGGCCTGCCTGGGTGTAAACCAACGAGAGCATACAGTCAGGTTTGCCCCTCTCCCAAAGCTATACCGTTCCACTGCACAGTCCATCTGAAGAATAATGAAACTCATCACCAGCAACTGTTGGCAAGTCAAGAGTTAAGGAATTGAAGTCCAGTAATTAAACTAGTTAATTAAACTGGTTTAGGGAGTGACCATCCTTTAATAGCAACGTTACCAGTCTTTTTCTCATCAAAATACTGCAATTCAAAAGATTCATTTTTTTCCCATTCCTTCCCCCTCTCCACCCCCTTCCCCCCCACCCCCCCGACACCGTCATATTTCTCTCTTCTCTTCCTCCCCCCCCCCCCCCCCCCCCCGCCACACCGATTTTTGTTTTGTAAGAAAAAAAACATTTTTCATATGGCTTTTAAACCTTCAATCACAGGCTCCCTGGCAGAACGGCTTCACACTCAACCCATTTGTGAAGCAAAATGCAAACTTGATTTTTCTGCACCGATTTGGGTAACATCAACGTGGCTTGAGTCAACACTTTATATAAAAAAAAAAGCCGGAGCTTTAACTTGAACATTTCAAGTTGTAACTGAGGAGCAGAGTACCAGTTACTCTGGCAACCTGTTACTTTCAACTCAATCTGTAAACTCTTCATTTTCCTTCCCCGTTTCGACTCCATTGTGTAAACTACCTACGTAAATCTTCTTTCAACAAAGTCCTTTCAACGCTGTTCGACAGCTGCACTGTTCTGCAGTGCTGCGAACGGTGCTTTCTACATGATTGGCTGGATCACTGTATTTGGTCATTTCAACTAAACTTCACTTGGATTTTATGCGCCATATTACACCACAACTAGAACGAAACGCGTCTTTCACCTTTCCTACTTAATTTACCCACGTTCAAAGTTGCGAAATCACACAATTAAAAGACCTACGATCACGAGAGTGCTAAGAGGCCTTCGACCAGCCGCTTGCAACGAACCTCAAAACAAAGCATATCGATAAATGCTATGGAAAGCAAATCACGTGTCACTCCGCGGTTAACGTACAAAAAACAGTCCCGTCGTTGGTGAGTTCCTCGTCATTTTATCAAGGGAAAAGGAATGAGATGTGAGCTTCTTTACGACAGTCTTGTCCGATGGCAATTTTGTCCTTTGAAGCAGAGGGCAATGATCCTTATTTCAATGCACTGTTGAATTCTCCAGCGATTTCATCCATCCTCCACCCCCACCCCCCACCCCACTTCGAAGTGGACGTCTGTCGATATGCAGCATAATTAAACAGAGAAGGTGCCTAAGGACCACGTAAACGCATTAGAACTCTAACACCAGGTTGCAGGTTTGTTGATTCTGCATTAATATTTTAAATCCGAGTCTAAAAATCTTGACAAAAAATGACAGGCAACCAATCCATCCTTTTTTTTATATCACCCTTGAAGAAACATTTACATTCACACACGGACACTGTGACACACACGCGCTTGGCTTAAAAGTCCTAATTTATATATATATTTATTTATATATATATATATATATGTTTAATAGGTCCCAGAATTCTAGAGCACCAGGCAGTGATACAAATACTGCAGAACATTGTACCACATGCAGCCTGACAGAAATCCCATTATTTGTATTAGGAAGAGCCACAACGGATCAAGAGTCATAGGTCTGGAAGTTGCGGTTGTTTGACCTTTGGGAGGTGGGAACGCTCCTGGAAAACAAAAAGAAAAGGGGCAACTTTTTTAAATGTTTTAATTAATTGAAGAGCAACACATTCGGTTGACGTTTCCCTCAGTGAATATTCCACTGAGGCCGTGAATTGCCTCTCAAGCAAGAATCCAACAGGTCTACAGAGGGATTCAGATCGTCAATGACCCAGCCTCCGAGCAGACAGGAAATATTTGCTAATAGTTTGTCGAGCCGCATTTTTTCACAGCAGTTAGTGAATAGATTGAACGTTGGCAAACCCCTTTGCATTTGCAGTTAATAAGTGTGCGTCTGTTTGGGTGAGGTAAATTCTATTTTTTTCGGGTTGGCCGAGGAAGAACTCGGGTTTGGACTTCCACGTTTTGACAATCCTACCCAAATGTTCGCGATCTTGTCTCCCGAGACACCCACTTGGTTATCCCAACCACTGCATCGATCAACTCCTCCTTTAGAAGGGAACCGGGTACGTGTCGGCTCGAGAACGGTTCCAGAACGATGGGCCTTTTCTTGCCTCAATCTTCAAGCTTTTAAGACCTACAGGTATCCAAGATCCAAACGGCCTTTCTGACCGCAATCCGAGATGGACAGCAGCCCGCAAGCACGACTGCGAGGAGAGGAAAACGGCAGTACCCGTAACCCCCGGGTGCACAGGAAAATCTTGTCGTTCTCACTGCAGTTTGCCTGCCCTGTCTTTAGAGAGGATGACCAGACCCAACCGAATATGCAGCGTGCCAATCTGAGAAACCTCCAAATCCCAAATTCAGTGAAATATCCCCCAAAACCAGCTCATTCTGGTCTTGTCCGGTTTATAATGACCAGAACTTAGCAGCGAGAGAAGTAGAGATACTCGAGCCCGAGGAGGTGATCTATCCCGAGGGGGTGTGGGGGAGAAGAAAGTAATGTCACAGCAGAAAATAAAAATTCTTCTCCCACTTTTCAAGTACACACACACACAAACACAACACACACACACACTTGATAAAAGCTCTCAACAGAATTATATTTACAACCACTTGCTAATGCAGGAAATGTTAAAAACACGCCTGGAAAATATTCAGCTGTGAATGTGTTAACTCAACTGGAATTCAGCCCACAGTCACTGTCTAAACAGCGTTGCTAGGTGCCCTCGGCCATTGAAGGGGAGAATCCGAGAGTGTGAGTGCGTGTGTAAAACAAATTTAAGGAGCTACATACAACCGGTTACAGAAATCAGCTTCAAACCACAAAACAGAGGACCTCAAAGAAAAAATTTCTTCCTTCTCTCTCTCTCTCTCTCTCTGCTCCACGCCACCAAGGATGCATTTTTCTTCAACGCAACAAAAGCCATATTTTTTGAAGCTCGCTTATTTTTTTCTTAAAAAATCCGAAGTAAAATGGACTGCACTGCACTGCACGCAAACGGGAAAAAATCTTGCTGGTTTAGTATTCCGAAGACCCCCGACACCAGCACGCTTGCCCGAGTCTTGAAATCTCACTGCCGCCAGCAAATGAAGATGTCAGGAAGGATTGCCCTTCTCTGGTGGATTCGGCCACACTCGGCATCAAAACGCCTGAACTGTCGTCGAGGCTTTTTTTCTCCCTAAAGCCTGGGTGCAGTTTGTGTAATTTCCCCTCCCTCCCTCCCTGGGTCCCTACTCCACCCCCACCCAAAAAAAAACGTAAGCATTTGTCACTTTTTTTTAAAAAAAAGGAAAAATTTAAACTACACTGAGCGTACAATAATACTCCTTGCATTTGATATAGAGCCTCATCACGGAATAAAGTGGATTGACTGTGTGTTATGTGGGTGAAGCACGGGAGTCAATTGCGCACAGCAGTGTGTATTTCCAAATATATTTAGAAAGCGTTAAATCGAGGTCCGCTGACCCAGGATAAAGTCAAATCGAAATCTCTTTCACATCCTTAATCACCTAGGTAGCGCCCACCTGTTTCATAAAAGTGTGCCAAGAGTTCCTCTTTCTCCACAAACCGCTGGTACAGCCATCTGGTCAGGGGCTCGCTCTCAAAGGGAACATCCTTGATCGAATAGATCCTGCAGGAAAAGAAACAGGACGGATGAAGCCGGAGCCCAATTATTCCTACTCCACAGGCCCAATGGAGAGGTCACTTGGCACAAGTTTAGATGGTACCCAGAGAGCGGATGCAACTGAGCCACGCCACTAGCCACAAGGAGTCTCGGAGAACAACAACATTATATAGTGCCCTTCACTCCGGACGGCACCTGGGAGTTTAACAGGTTCCGTGCACCACTACCAGATAAACCTCCTGCGATCCGAATCGCTATTGGTTTCGTAAACCACTGATTTGCACCCAGGCCGGCCCGAGACTTCAGCGGCTGAATCATGTGCGACACTGATACAGGGCTCCCTTCACTTCAGATCTGTGCATCTGCTCGGGAGCGCTCAGCCCCACATACGACAGCGCAGCAAATTGTGCGCGGGCAGTGGAGTGGAAAGATGAGCACAAACTGTCCTTCATGGCTGCGTAAGTCTGCATGTGAGCTGGGTTCAGCGCCCATCTGCTTCTGGCCACGTTTCAATGCCTCCTGCTGCTTAGCCTTTCTCATGAGTTCGTTGTGGGTCCATTTAAAATGTGCAGATACTGGTTTCTACCACTAAATAGGGAGTAATCCGCTGTAAATTTACCGACAAGAATAATCCACAATCAAGACAAGTCTTTGATTCTCCCTTCCTCTCAAATTTCCAACGTACACAAACACGGCACAATTTGGTGTGAAAATACTCTTCTTCCAAATTGGTTGGTAGTAAATGAAATGTTTTTCCAATATATAAAAACACGAAAAAGGATTTTCTGGGCTTTTCAGTCGCTCCCAAATGAAACTATGGAGCTTGTGACTGACATGTGATATTAAACTGTACAGCAGTGAGCGTTTGTGTATTTTAGTGTAGTAAATAAGGCAAGTGGGTCAGATTCCTCATTCTAAATGTAAGTTATTACCACTGGTTATATTCAGGGGTGCAATTTCCATCACCTTATATAATAATAAGTTTACAGGAGTCGTGCAGCTCAGTGGTTAGAGCGCTCGCCTCACAAGCGAGAGCCTGGGTTTGATTCCCGGCAGGGGGCGAAACCTTGGGCAAGCTTCCTTACTCCACTCGCCCGATAGTAATCCCTCAAGAAAAAAAACAATTAATAATAAAATTGGTCACTTCAATCCACGGCTGTTTGTGGGGGACGCTGCTGTGCGCAACCTCAATATTATGGCTTGTGACTATTATTGCACATACCTGAAACCTGGATTGTTGCAACCATTATAGAATTTGCTCTGTAATTTGGAAATTCAGACTGTGCCCACAGGGCTCTGTCACACTGATGCACATCAGCCACCCTGAGCTGGAACTGATAAATAGCTGTGATGGTTGGTTAGTAAGAACAGAGACAGGCAATGTTGGCAAAAAAAAAACAAGATCAGATCAGGTGCTGCTCACTCACAAACAGCACGAGTTATTGACCGAGGGCGAGAACATTAAACACAAGCTGCTAAGTTCTCCGCGGTGTACACAAAGCCTACAAGAGGTAGAGGTGGCTTAGACCCCACCCGAGGTCTGAAATTCCTCTGCTCTCGGTCTGGCTCAAAAATACACGTGAAGCTACGCAGAAAACCCTTAACTTCAGTCTGAACTCGGTCCAACTCAATTCTGTCCTCCACCAAAACCCAACCCACCATCAGACCTTCCCTGCAAGTGCAATCCTGCTTGTTAAAAGACGTTTCCGTCAAATCTGCCACACTCTCCTCTGTGGAAGGGGCTCGCAAGGAGATTGCACACGTTCTGTGTCAGGGTAGCAGGTGTGCTTCCAGAGCTCGAGGGTAGACACCAACCGGACTCGAGTAAAAAAAAACAAGGAATAAATGGGCCGTCGAGAGATTTGCAATTGCAACTGTGGCAGTGAAACTGCTGAACTATATTGTTCACTGAAAAGAACAGGTGGGGTTACAGATGAAAAGGAATAGCACTGTTCTTATCCAGTTATTGTGTGTGTGGTGGGGTGTCAGGTGATGGCCACGAAAACAAAAATATTTTGAACATATTCTCAGCTGCAGGCTCTCAATTCTTTAAACGATCGGTTCACGTTTGACCGGCAACCAACCGACTGACGAGAAGTGACAGAAACCCGGACAGAGACTCCACCACCTCATAAAGTGACAACAGTTAACAGGGAGAAGAGCGACGGCAAAGTGTGGGACACCCCAGGGGAAAGCCCGGGGGGGAAAATGCAGTCGCCCGCACCAGGTCAGCATGAAGGGAACCGCAGCTGCAATGAAGTGGGCAGCTTTGTGCCCAAGTGCAGCAGTCAGCAGTCGGTCTTAAACCGCCACCCGTCCGTCAGAATTTCTCCAACACAAACGAGAAATGTACGGTCACGGTTGGGAGCCTGCGTGGGCGTTTGCACGAGTGGAAAGGTTTCGCGGCATTCTGCAAAAGAACACGTCAGGCTTGACGAAACTTAACGTCAATCCAACGTCTCATTTTCTCCTCTGAAAGTGTCCCTTGGAACGTCACCCAAACCTCTGGTAACGCAACCTCTCCAAGTCACCCGGTCTAAATGGAGTCATTTGTGGTCCGAACCCGAACTTTCTTATTACCTGAGCCATGTCTGTGCTTATGTTCACAGTTTAATACGACTGACGGGTGTTCACAGAGCTGGAATTCAACAATGTTGCGCTCTAATGATAATAATAATAAATAATAATAATAAACTGTGGTTTAGCATCTGATCCGAAGGGCAACACCTACAACAATGCCACCCTGCCCCAGTGTCAGCCTAGACTATACAAGTTCAAAGACTCAATGTGGGGCTTGAACCCCACAACCTTCTGACTCAGAAGCGAGAGTGCTACCAGAGGAGCCAAGATGATGCTTTACAAAGTACCCGAGTACAACACACTCCTTTCACCGAAGAGGAGAAAAGTAGGAACATAGGTACTTGGTACACACAGAGGTTAAGCCCAAATGAACCGTACCCCAGAGAGAAAAGTACCATTGTTGTTGGTAAGATGTTGCTATCAAAAGCAATGGTGATTTACTATCAAAAGCAAGTTCATGCAGATATTGTGCAGATTCTACTGCCTTAAGAGAGTGATTCGTACCCAGAGAGAATTTGCGAGATTCAAAGGCAATGGATGACACCTCCTCAAATGCAAGTCACACTCAATGGCCCCCCCGCTACCACCCCCCGCCCTCATGACACTTCCAATGTCGTACCTTTGCCCTGCCAGCGTCGCAATTACTGGGCCAGGAATTGTTGACCAGTACATTGTAATAACTGGGATTGTTGCTCTGAGCAATAGTGAAAGCTAAATAAGCCTCCTCCCGAGAAATCGAGAAGATACAGAGGAGGGCTACCAGAATGATTGAGGGAGGCAGAGGGACTGGACTACGAGGAGCGACTCAGTAAATTGGACATGATCGCGCTGGAAAAGAGAAGATCCAGAGGCGACGTGATTGCTGTCTTTAAGACTCTAAAGGGGCAAAACAATCTAGATCATGACGGGCTGCTTCAACTGGGTCCAGAATAGTAAGACCAGAGGTACACGGCCTGCGATTGAAGGGGGGCAAATACAGAACAAATCTACGCAAAACACTATTTCAGTGAGCGAATAGTGAACCTGTGGAACAGACTCCCGAGGGAGACGGTTGAAGGAGGAAATGTTGATTCTTTTCAAACACAGATTAGAATAGTTTTCTTTTAGGAAAGAACACGATTGGATACGGGACATATGTACAAGCCAGGAAGGTGGAAGGCGAAAAAGATGGACCTTGGTCTTTTTCCTTTGTCCAGCATTTCTTATGTCCTTCAGAAGAACATAAGAAACGCCTCAGTGCGTACTTTGGAATAATGCCAAGCGGATACCCATTGGCAATTAGTCATTGCAAAAAAAAACCTAGCAGGCTGCTCAAAGCGTGGGACTGTCAACAGTGATTCAACTCCAGGAGTCTGAATCATGCACTTCACTCCCCTCCCTCCCTCCCTCCTCCTCCCCATTCCCTCCCTCCTCCCCTCCCACTCCCTATTCCCCTCCCTCCCTCCCTCCCTCTCTCTCCCCGATCGCCCCTTCCCCCTCTCTCCTCCTGTCCCAAAGGAAACTCTGGGAAAAAAATGTGAAACCTGACTGTTGGGGAACATTTGATCAGAACACAGCGTGTTCTCTGTAAAGCGTATATTGATGAGGTACAGTCACAGCGAAGGGCCGCTTTCAGTTCTAACACTACCAGCAGGCGCTCACTGAGGCAAAACTCACTGTCCAGTGTCGCCTTTATTACAGTTCCTCGGCTCGCCGGTGCTGCCCTCCACCACCTATTCCCAATGAACCATTCCAGCTGGGTGTAAGGAGATACTCCCTGGTCAAAACTCTGGGCAAGTTTCCTTACTCCACACGCCTGTTTAGCTTGCAGTAAGCAGGAACCCGGTACAATACTGATCGCAAGATTGGTCTCTCATCACGGTTGCTAGTTGGGGAGGGGGAATGGGGTGAGGAGGGGTAGTCAGTGGGGCAGAAAGTGTAGGACAGAATAGACCACCAACACTCCCCCTGCCCGCCCCCAATCTCAAACTCCCTCTACTACCAAACAGGCACTTATTATCCACATGTCACATGGCCACACAAACCCACGGAGGCGAAAGAATAACTGGAGAAACGTAATAAAGGAGCAACCCACCTATAGTGTACGTGGGTGACTGTTGGTGCTCGGTAACCAATGATCCAGGTCTGGATGTCCATTGGCTTAGCTTCAGGATATCCAATGGTAATATCTATAACCCACTCAAGACCTTTGGATTTCGTCACTGAAGAAAAAGGGAAATAAAAGAGAAACAGAACAGTGAGCAAAATAGTTTCATCGCATGCGTTAAGACACTAGTCATTCGGTTCGGGCCTGTTTGTGAGACACTGCTGTGCGTAATCTGGCTGTCATGTTCCTCCTGCCCACAAGCAAAGCACAAAGTCCTGACTCGTTATAGTAAATCATGTGAAGTGCATCGAGACATCTCGACGATGTGTTAAGGTGCTATTATCGAATGCAAGGATTGCAACAGAATAGGTACAATCTATTGTAATATTTTCCCAACAGGCAGGGAATGCTTCCGGTGGTGAGTGAAAGTGCAATGACCTGGAACGATGGGAATTCTGCTCGGACATAACCTACTTCCAGAGCAGAGTTCCCACGGATCAGACTGACCGACTGACAAGAATCACTATTTGTGACATCGGTAACAACTCTGGTTAAGAACTGCCGCAATGTGGATCCCCCGATCGCCTATTTAAATCCAAGGTCCACTCTTGTGGCCGCCTTTCAAGGCCTTTCTTGTTGTGGTTACAATATTTAAAGCTGGACGCAAAACACTCGGGGCAGTATGGCCATTGCTATTTAACAAGTGTAAACATGACTTGCACTGACTCTGGCAACTACTTGACAACTATTAGCCTTGTCCCCAGTAGCCGTGCATTGTGACGAGAACGTCAATCCTTGCTCAATAGCAGGACACGCATCTTTTTCTTGCGGCCTCTTTGCAAACACACAAAAAAGAACCAGCCACATGGTTAAACAGATCTCTTCTTTTTTTTTTAAAAAGCGACTGCAAAAGAGTTCTCAGCAAACGGGAATTTTAACAACAAAAGGCATTTGGTAATTTGAATCGGCGGCATTGTTAGCACATGCTGGTTGTCTTTTCTTTAAGGAAAAACACAGAACTTTCTTTCACCCCCTTTGTACTCAACACAAAAAACAGCGAAGTAACCTGCAGGTCCTGTGAAAGACAATTTGAACAGTGGCTGCGCTAGAAACAGGAGACAGCTCAGCTTACTGCAGTCACGTTGAACTGCCACCACAAATTCGCTCCCAACATCAGGAGGGGATTTCTCCCAATCCACTAGGTTTACGTCAGGTTTCTAGGTTTGACCCCAACTTGCAGGGCTGGGGGGGGGGGGGGCGGGGGTAGCATGCGTTTTGCCCACAAAATATACAGTCAATTCGCTTGACAGTATATCCTGTGAAGCGCTTTGAGGTGTCTCGAAGATGTGATAAGGCGCCGTATCAAATATAAGGATTATTATTATTATTATCATCATCATCATCAGAGCTACCGTCCTTTGGATGAGACGTTAAACCGAGATCCCATCTGTGCTTGTTCAGGTGAACGTTAAAAGATCCTACGGCACTATTGGAAAAGAGAAAGGAGTTTTCTCCTGTTGTTCTGACCAACATTCCCCCGGGTACTGTAAAACAATCCATCCACGTCATGGCTGTTCGTGGGACATTGCTGAGCGCAAATTGCTGCCTCGTTTGACCTGCAAATGCACAATCACTACCCTCCACAATAAATCTTCTTCGAAGTGTCTCAGGTGACATCAAAGATGCTGTATTAACCGCTGCGGTTATTATAACTCATCCTACCTGAATACCCACCCGAATGTTTTGCTCTCGCACCATCAAGCTGCTTCATAAACAACTCCAGCTCCCTGGCCTGAAACACCCATCCCTGGTAACTGCTCCAGCTGCTGATCAGCCTCTGGATAAAGACATCCCTCCTGTTTTATGCCCCGAAATAGCCCTTTGCAATCCTGAACCTGTCTCCCCCTGTTCTAAATTCTTCGGCGTAGAATCCCAGACACGCAAAACCCGAGCCAGGCGCACAGCGACACGCGCAGACAGACGTGAAGTCAACAACCAATTCTGTTTGGTGGATTGCTGGCTCCACGTGAGCCTCGACTCGAGCCTCCGGCCTCGAGCTCCGCCATCGTCAAGAGCGCTCTGGGGCGCTGCCCCGGGGTGAGCGGGGCTCTGTGTGAACGCCAGTCGCCGTTACAGTGATTCCCGTGTAAGCGCAGTGAGTGTGTAATCAGGAAAGGGGGGGGGGGGGGGGAGAAGAGAGAGGACAAAACAAGGCTGATAGGTCGCCAGTACCCCCCACCACCCCCATCCATCCCAAGTTGCCCCACACCCCTACCTGCTCCATTAGCATCTCCGGCCGCCCCGTTCTCGTGGGCCGTGCACAGGGTCTGCAGGATGACCTCGGTGGCTCCCTGGCGGGGCAGGGTGACGTGCTTCAGGTGTGGAAGGTTGTTCTTCTTGGCGAACAGCTGGCTGGTCTCCCGCCTCTTTCTCAGGAAGCCTCCTTCGGGGAAGAGGACGATCCACTTCCTGTCCCGGCTCCTGTAGTGTTTTTCCAAGTGCCGCCGGAGAAGCACCAGCTGCTTGTCGCGATGAGCTTTGCCCTGGACGCCGGCCGGGAGGCAAGAAAGCGAACAGTAAAGGGACCGCACGGCTCGCAGGCACCGAGAGAGTGGCTCCTGCCAGGCGTGTGGGTCTGCCCGCGCTTCTGTCTGTGCTTCTGTGCTTCTGTGCGTCCGTCCGTCTGTCTGTGCGTCCGTCTGTCTGTCTGTGCGTCCGACTGTCTGTCTGTGCGTCCGTCTGTCTGTGCGTCCGTCTGTCTGTCTGTGCGTCCGTCTGTCTGTGCGTCCGTCTGTGCATCTGTGCGTCCGTCTGTGTGTCTGTGCGTCTGTCTGTCTGCCTACCTGGCTCAGAGTGACTTGACTCTGGCCTCCCCAGAGTCAGAAGGCTGTGGGTTTAAGTCCCGAGTCGGACTTGGACCTCACAGGGAGTCTAGGCTGACACTCTAAATTCAATACAAAATGACACGTGTATAGCGCCTTTCACGTTGGGGGGGACATCCCAAGGCGCCGGGGCAGTACTACAGCAACGTCAGAGACACTTTGAGACGTCTCGAAGATTTGATGAGGCGCTGTATCAAATGTAAGGATTATTATTATTATTATTATTAGTGCTACATTGACAATACAGTGATACAATGTCAGAAAAGACATTAAACAGAGGATCCGTCTGCCTGTTCAGGTGGACGTTAAAAGATCCCAAGGCAACTTTTTCAAGAGAGGAAGCAATTTCTCCCGGTCAATAATCTCCCGTATAAGATCAGGCGTTCACTTTGCAGCCTTTTGTGGTTTGTTCAACACGACGTATCCCATGGGCACGGCAGCCAGTTTGTTCTAAGCAACACACCACAAAGTAAACGGCCGCAAACATCCACTCCGCAGCCGTTTACTCTTTTGGTACGTTGCACTGAACAAACCGACCGCCGTGTTTGCCGACCAATGCAGTCAGTGCACTCCACAGTGAAACCCTGTAAAAGTTCACACAGATGACTTGGGGACGTGATAAGCCGCTATATCAAATGTAAGGATTATTAAAAGAGCACTCATAAGTACTTAAGGCGTGTGAGATTCCTCAGTAACCAGCAAAATATTTATTATTCCAGTTGGAAAGTGAGTGAACGTAACGGAGTCCTGTAGCTCAGTGGTTAAGAGCACTTGCCTCGCAAGCAGAGGACCTGGGTTTGATTCCCAGCAGGACAAAACGATGGGCAAGTTGCCTTAATCCACATGCCTCTGCTTACTTGGAAGTAAATAGGAACCCGGTTCTTAGTCGATTGGCTGATTGTTTTTTCCAGGGGATAAAATCCCTTCAAAAAAATAATAACTGGGCCACTCAATCCACGACTATTTGTGGGACGCTGCTGTGTGCAATTGGCTGCCGTGTTTCGCCCATAAAATACACAGTCAATTCACTTTACAGTGTACCCTGTGATGCACTTTGAGACGTCTCGAAGACGTGATAAGGAGCTATATCAAATGCAAGGATTATTACTATTATTATCTTTCAATAGAACTTACTTCGAAACCCTCTTTTCCACAACAAGAACAACAACCATTGTATTTATAGAGCGCCTTTCACGTCGGAGGACGTCCCAAGGCGCTGGACAGTTGGGTTGGGACCCGAGCAGGGGGGAAATGGTCAGGGTGAGGGGAGGGAAGGGAGGGGGCGAGGAGGGGGTAGAGAGTCGAGAGCGGAGCTGAAGGCTGAAGGTCAAAGAGAAAGGTCTTGAGACCGGCCTTGAAGGAGGAAAGGGAGGAAGCGGCGAAGGCACTGGGGATGGAGTTCCAGAGCCTCGGGGCTGAGAGGCTGAAGCCCCGGCCACCGATGGTAGGGCGGTTGGGGCGGGGGATGTGGAGCAGATCGGAGCCAGAGGAACGGAGAGTACGGGCAGGTAGGGAGGGGGATAGTAGGTTGGAAAGGTAGGAGGGAGCAAGGCAGTGAATGGCCTCGTAGGTGAGGATGAGGATCATGAATTCGATCCTCTGGGGGATGGGAAGCCAGTGGAGGCGAGCGAGGGTGGGAGTGATGTGGTAGGCTTTCCCTACCTACAAAACATTTTAATAACCTAGCTCTTTGTCTGTGGCTTTCGGTCAAGATCCGATAGTGCTTTGAGGCCGGTATCTAACATGAAACGCGCCGTATAAGTAAAGTTAGGGTCGTCAAAAGCTAACTTCTCCGATTGTGCATTTGGTCAAACTCCCTCAAATTTCCCTGCCCACTCGATGATTCCGCATCACGTCCGTGAAGTAATTTGAGACCCTCTGCAAAAGGCGCTGCATTGAACAAATTGCAATTTACTAGAACTTCTAAATTCTTCCCTCCCCGCGCACAGACAGGCACTGTACCCTTCATCGCGCCATAGAAATTTATAGCACAGGAGGCCATTCGGCCCATTGTGCCTGTGCCCTGTCTCTGAGAGAGCTATCTATCCATTTAGCCCCATTTGCCCCGCCTATTTCCACAGCTTTTTATTACTTCTCTTTTTCCGATTATTTATGTAACTTGTTTCAAAATATACTTCTTTGATTTCGCTTTCGGTCGTCACCCCTCCCCCCCCCCCACCCCCCACCCCCCACTGGGCTTGTGAACTGCTTTGAGATGTTCCCACGTGAAACGTATTATATTAGTAACAATAATAATATTGTATTTCTCGCAAATGTTTTAACCCCAATAACGCAATCGCTTACAATCTGTATTAACTCTCACTCATTCCGTTGTTGTGTTTCTCCTTTTTTGTGTACGTCTCTCAGCTTCATTCTGATGACTGGTGGTACTTCCGGCTTTGCAACATAAGAGATGTGCAGGACAAGGAAAAACAGCTGGTCTGGTCAGCATGAAATATAATAATAATAATCCTACACCACCAGCTCACATATCCTCAATTGAATTATTCTCCAAATAGCTGTCTAATTCCCTCTTGAATTTGCTGACACAATCTGTGCTTCCACATATTCACTACTCGCTGGATAAAGTAATTAAAGGCGCACTGTCTGTTCACCATCTCTCATCTCGGTTGTAATCCGTGCCTCCCCCTTTGCTCCAGATGTATTTTATTTGTTTTGTGACTGCGTTCAAGACATTATTCCGTTTCGTTTCCTTAACCCTTGCGTTTGCCGAAACGCTAAGCCATTAGCACAGGATAAATAAACAAAGCCTGATGTACACAACACTCGCGGGAGAAAGGAAAAGAGGGACTTAGGTGAGGGGAGCAGGAGGGGTGCGGGCTCGTGGTGGAGTATAAACACACACTCGTTGGGCTGAATGAGCTGTATCTCTCTATGTAACTATGCAACGATTAAATGAGTCAATCCCAGTTTACAACAACAACAAAAACAACAACAACAACTTGCACTTATATAAACACCCTCCACACAGGGTAGCGTCTCGAGAGCGCTTAGAATGAACCAAACGAATGACAAAGAACAGCTGGTGTTTCAGAGCCCTGCAACTCAGAGAGTCAGGGCAGAATTCACCTGCCCAAGTTGCCACCTTAGGCTAGAAGGGTGCGGAACAGGAACCCACCCCGGTGATCATTCAGGAGCTCGCTCTGGGAGCCTGGAGACAAGTCAAAGTGACCCGCCCTCCCCATCAGGGCCACAGGGGCCAAGAAAGTAACACAAAGGGAAAACAATTTTTCAACCAGAGTGTTAATTTAAAAAGTGTAGTACACAGCATAGATGCATCCAAGAGGAAACTAGGCCTTCACATGAGGGAGAGAGAAACAGAGGGTATGGCAGGGAATGAAAATCATGCGAAGCAAAAAGCCCAGCACGGACTTTACTTCAAACCTTCAGCGGTTAATTCCAAAGTAACTCCAATTAAAAGTGTGCGACAGAACACAGAGCAGTCAGCCCTTCCCTGTACAATGCATCTCTGTCTCTCATGTTCCTCTGTGTATCACTGATTCCCCTATTTGAGAAGTCTGCGAACGCCCGTTTGCGAACGATAAAATCCCTGGATTTTGCTGCAGAGTGAACACAACACAATGGCTGCACCTGTTTAAGAGGAGCCAAGTCATTTTCTTGCAAATGGCACTTCTGCGAAAATGACCTGTGCAGTAAAAACCCAGAGCTCACTGACATCTGCTTCTGTCAGTCAGGCTGTCCTCGCAGTAATATTGCCTGTTTTAGAAAAGGTAGGAAGCGGCTGCTTTGTTGCTGTGAGAATTGAGCCTGGAATTACAGCTGCTTCCAACAACAAATTTATTTTCACTTGTGTGGCGATGAATCGGGAGGCAGGGCCATTAACAGCACACAGGGAAACTGCTCATCCACTTCCAGCGCATACACGTGTGGGGCTCTTCAGTCTGGTTTGGGGACTCTGAAGCACAGCGGTGGGTTTCCGCGTGTACCAAGCCACCCGGCTGACCAAAAGAAAAACCTACAACAACCATACACTTTGCCACTTCTGTCGTGAAAATACACGGTCTTATAGTTAAGGTGAACTCAGGGAATAATATTAATAATAATAATCATAATCCCGGCATTTGATATAGAGTCTGATCGCGTCTTCGAGACGTCTCAAAGAGCTTCACAGAATATACTGTAAAGTGAATTGACTGTGTATTTTGTGGGTGAAACGCGGCAGCCAATTGCGCACAGCAGCGTCCCCGCAAACAGTCGAGGTTTGAGTGACCAATTTTTTTTATTTGTTTGGGAGCGATTATGACCCTCCGTAGAGCGATCCACCACTCAATTTACAACCGGGTTCCGACGACTGCGAGGTAAACAGAGGTGTGTGGAGTAAGGAAACTTGCCTAAGGTTTCGCCCTGCACCAGGAATCAAACCCCAGGTCCTCTCGCTTGCGCGGCGAGAGCTCCAGCCACTACACTGCCGCTCACCAGGTAAAAGTAAAAAAAAAAAAATGCACTGCCATCCTCAAAAAAAATGTGGTGTGAAACTTCACCTGGTTCTAGATTTCCTGTTTAGGTCAAGTCTCAGAGCGCCTACAATTTCGGCAAATTGTTGAATTTCAGTCACAACATTGAAGTTGGATTTCCCATTGTTCCTTCTTTTTATATATATATATATATACACACACACACAAATCATAGAAAAACAGCTTTTTTTTTTAAAAAAAAAGAGACTGCGTTTCACAATTTGCCAAATTCTGGAAGCTCTCATACGCCAGATAGACAGAGTAAGTCTCGACCCACCTCCCCCCAGCAGAGCGCTTTGGTGTCAACATTTGCCGTGTGAGCTTTGCGGAAAGCGAATCGTTTTTACTTTCATTTATCCCCTTTTCTTTCACTTCCTCATTCCTCTCCCCCATACACCACACACACCCCCCTCCAACCCACACACACCATCCACTCTATATACAGTACATACATATATATAAAAAAACTACTTCCTGCCAGATAAATGTTGACTTCAAAATGTCACACCATTTCCTCTACTTCACCCTTGATCCCTCTAATCTCTCACACCACCGTCCCATCTCCAAACTACTCTTCCTGGTCAAAGTCCTGGAACACATTGTTGTGGGTCAACTTCGGTCACAGCTCTCCCCTCCACTCCCTCCTCGAGCCCCTGCAGTCTGGTTTTCTCCCCGACTGCCCACAGCACAGAGACAGCACTTGTCAAAAGTCGCAAACGACATACATTCTCTCTCTCCGTGACCAGGGCTCCCTCTGCCTCCTCGTCCTCCTGGACTCCATCCTTGGCCTCTTCTTTTCCTTATCTAATATGCTCCCTTTGGGCGATGTCATCCGCAGACTCGGGGTAAACTTCCACATGTTTGCGGATGACACAATAATCTACTTTGCCTCCTCCAGCACCAACTCCAGGTCCCCGATGTCACAGTCACAGAGGTAGGGAGGGCGGAGCAACACCATGGAGGGCTTTCAACATGAGGACAAGGAGTCTAGACTCAATGCCTCTAGATTGGCGAGAGTGTGGCGAGGTGGGGTGGTGGGGAGAAAATATTAGCTTTTCCTTTCCTGATCTCTATCCACAGCTCCACAGACAGTAGGTGGATGTGGATGTCAGGCCGGGCTGAGGCTTAGGCTAAGCAGTAATGCCTCCACCAATCGAATGAAGTCAACTCCCGCCATAACACCGTGTGCGCTTTGGTTCCCTCCCCCACTACCCCACAACCATATTAAAACTGGTCGCATGGCAATGGATGCCACGGGAGAGGAGCCACAGCACCGTCAGGTCCCTTAGCACATCAAACCGCTGAGGTGTGTGCGCGCCAACTCAGCACGAAAACAGAAGCCACGGCCAACACTCTGGGCGCTAACAACACTTGAACGCCCGCCGGGTCTGGGTGCCGGGCGCCACACACGGGCTCCCGGGTTACGCACGGGGACGGACGCGCAGTACGTGGGGATCGCGCGTATGTTTCAGGCGTGGCGCGCAAGAGCTTCTGGGGCTCTACCCCGCGCGAGGGACGTTATTACCTAAATGCAAGTCGTCGTCGAAGGCGTTGTTGTATTGCAGTGAACACTTAAATATAGCCACTTGGGCCAGATCCTTCTTTTTATATATATATATACACATATACACACACACAGTGACCACGGCTCACGTAAACGCCGTTGCCAGGTTAGCCACACGTGCGCAGAGCGCCATCAACCTCACCTGTCGGATGAAGAAGTCCCCGTGGATGAGGGACACGAGACCGAAGTTCGTAAACTTGAAAACGTATTCCATCAGCCACATCATGCGGCGAACCACCTGCGAGGGAGGCGAGGCGCAAAGATATCAGCGGCTGCCACACACAATCCTAACACCGACCTCTCCCTCCCCCACGCCCAGATAGTTTATCACAATAATAACAATAATCCTGGCGTTTGATACAGCGCCTGATCACGTCTTCGAGACGTCTCAAAGCGCTTCACGGGATACACCGTAAAGCGTAGTGACTGTATATTTTGTGGGCGAAACGCGGCAGCCGATTGCGCACAGCAGCGTCCCCCATACAAACAGCCGTGGGTTGAAATGAAGTGACCAATTTTATTTTATTTATTTTTTTCCTGAAGGATTATTATCAGGCGTGTGGAGTAAGGAAACGTGCTGGAGGTTTCGCCCCCTGCCGGGAATCAAACCCAGGTCTCTCTCGCTTCCGAGGCGAGTTTACGGTCCAATCCAGGGCAGCGCTCTCAGGCGTCTGTCTCAAAAGACAGTGACCCGAGAGCTACCACCGGGAACGTTCTGCAAGAACACGCTCGGATAAAGTGCCGTGTGATCTCCAGCGTTCCTCTACTTCATGGGGACAAAAAATATTTTCTCCGACTTGAAGTCGTTGCTGACCAGAGTCACGTCGGACAGTGAGTGGCCTTGGATTATCTGCACATCACAGCCGTACACAGTCCAGTGGAGATTCTATGCCTACCAGACACTCAGCGGAGGGCAAGGCATGATCTGAGTCGGGGTTGGGGGTGGGGGCAAACATAATACACAACCCTACCATCAGAGAGGGGAGCAACCAGCACGTGGTCTAGGACAGGGGGAAGAGAGGGACGGACGCTGTCCTGCAATCTGACCTGACTTTAAACAATCAGCAAGAAAAACACAATTCTTGCCTTCATTTAATATACTGTAGCACCTTGTCAAGTCGTCTGAATGTCTCAAAGCGCTCTTTTTTTTCGCTCGACTGTGGATTTTGTAGGCGAATGTGACAGCCAATCTGTCCTCATGCTTTTTTTGGGTGGGGGTGGGTGGGGGGGGGGGGGAATGCTTTTATTTTTGGAGTAGGGCAAATAGGGTGGGTGGAGGGGTAATTAAGGGAGGTAAGAACTGTTTGTGGGGACGCCGCCGTGTGCAATTGGCTGCCGCGTTTTGCCCAGAAAATATACAGTCAAATCACTTTACGGTATATTCTGCGAAGCGCTTTGAGACGTCTCAATGACGTGATAAGGCGCTGTATCGAATACAAGGATGATTATGTTTACTATTAAGAAAGAAACAGACTAATCATTTATTCTGGACCCACTCTTTAAAATGACCCTGTAAATTACCGACACACTGTATCTCCATTCCCGTAAACATCCTTCCTGCTATAAACAGAGTGGACCTCTCCTTCGTCAGCAAACAAGCTTGTGCCATGGGGTAGATATGGTTGGCGGAGGGTAGTTAAGGGAGGTAAGAACTGTTTGTGGGGACGCTGCTGTGCGCAATTGGCTGCCGCTTTCCGCCCACAACGTATACACAGTCAATTCACTTTACAGCGTATCCCGTGAAGCGCTTTGAGACGTCTCGACGACTTGATAAGGCGCTGTGTCAAATGCCGGGTTTATGACAGTAATACCGAGAAAGAAACAAAATTGATGTTTATTCTGAACCGACTCTTGAAAATAAACCTGTAAAATATCGACACATCTAGATTCTTGTACACATCCTTCCTGCCATAGACAGGATGGGAGGTGCCTCTCCATCAGCACAACAAGGTTGTGACAGTCACTGCTCCAAGGGCAATTACTACCCATGGGCGTTAGTCACTGAAATAACACTGTTTCCTGACAACGCCACTGCAGTTAAAAAGGCCACTACATCGAGTCTGGACTAAACAGCTCCAGTGGCTTGAAGTTTGCCGAGTTTAGAAAATAAATCACTCCTATAGCGGGAAGGGCTTAAACACACTTATCAATATTGCGTTTGGATTGATTCTCTACCTACTCCCATTAAATACAATCGTTTAATCTCGCTTGTTAACAAGTTAATATGATCTCAAACTGTGTAAGCAGGACGCTGTATAAAAAATAAATCAATGTCTCCATTCACACCCTTGCGTATCATTGTTTGGGATCATTACTATGATGTTTTCATCAGGAGCAGTGGCACAATAAAGATCACTAACTGGGCTCAGGCCAGCGCTCAGCCCTGCCGGATAGCTGGCAGCTCAGGGTACAGGACAGAGGATTTTATTGAAATAAGATCCGGAAATGCCTGAATATTGAAGATTATTGGGTTAATGTGTTTATCTTTATTCTGGCAGTCACTACGGTTTAATGTGAAGCTACTCTCCGCGGAAAAAACACTTTGCCCGGAAACAACAGCCACCTCACAGAGCGTTCTACCCGCTCTAGTTCTGATTTTGAGGCTTTGCCCCCAATTTCCCCCTCGCTCCCCCGCCCCACCCCACCCCGGTAATGCCATCCTCTTACCAGAGGGAACAGTCGGTCCCTACTTGACCTGTCAACAATCTCTCCTGCTCCATGTTACAGGGGTTTGGGGAAAGGGCAAGTCGACGGGACTGAAACGATGGCTGGTAAAGGAGCTGGCGTGGACACAGTGGGCCGAGTGGCCTTCTTCTCTGCTGTGAATTTCTATGGTTTCTGTGTCCCCCGCCCTACCCGCCCCGCCATCTGCAGGCAGCCAGTCTGCCCTGCTCTCAGGAACTCCGCCGCGAACCGATGCCCCCTCCGACTCGCTCCCTGCACTTTAGGCCCATCTTAAGACGTATCCTCTTTTGACCGCGCTCTCAGTCATTTCCCCCCACCCCTCCCCCCCTTCTTCGGCTCCCACCCCCAGCTCGGGTGATCCCTGCTGAATTAGCCAGCCAGTAGTTGCGAGAGCTTCCGAGACACCCTCCCGACAAAAACGGCAAAGAACCGGATACACAGTGTAACCCCGCGGCCGCCCCCCCACCCCCCCCTCCCCACCACCGCACACAAGTCACCACTGTTCTGCCGGCGGCCAAAGGACTGTGGGGTTTGAAAATGGCATCTGATACGTCCTCGAGCGGAGCCAGTTTACTCGGGCAGAGCTCTTTGTACATCAATCGCGTGTGACAGCAGAGCTGGCCTTGACAAATGTTTGGCTGGAAGGAGGACAGCTGAGCAGATCAGAGCAGAGACGGCACCCAGTCAGGCACAGACCTTTAACCGCCCGACACGCTCAGGGGCGGCGTGATCAGAAACAGCAGCAGGCATCGCAGCTACCAGCTGCTCCTTAAAAATAACATACACCGGAGCCAAGACCTGGAAATTTGTTGGCTGTTTTTAAATGAAAAGAAATAAAACTCGGGTTTCCCTGATCAGCCCACGATTTGGTCGAATGAACCCAGGAGAGACCTGACTTTTCTGACTAACTCAGTTCGATCACAAGGCAAAGAGCGAGTGAGCTGTCACCTCGAATGAACCCAGCGAGCCGATAGGAGGGACAAGTCGACACGAGTCTGGCCCCGAGGTGTGGCTGAATTCCTTACTATCGAGTCATGCGGATCGCTCTTCCTTCTGTCTAGACGGGGCATGCTAAAGTCACTGCGCTGGACTTAAACTATGGTACCCTGACCTGGTCTGAAACAATAGCTCGTCTGATACCGGTCAGCTTCGTGGTAAAGGCAAGTCCTAGGTAGGAGTGGGGCCAAGGTAGGGTAAAGACACAGAGAGACTTATTCACACATGTTGGGGTGGGGGAAAGAAAGAAACAAAAAAAGGTAATTGAGAACTCCCTGTAGAATTGACGTCATAATAATAATCCTTGCATTTGATATAGCACCTTATCACGCTATATTTTTTCGGGGATTGACTATCGCTGATGAGCTATATTAAAAATTCTTGATTTAACCCCCCAAGAAAGAGATGCGTGGTATTCTGCAACTGAGCAGCGACAGAGGTCATACACCCTTTTAGAGAGAGACATCTATTTATCTATACTAATAAAGACGAAATATCTGCCTGTCTAACTGATCGACCTAGAGACATGACTCTATTTATAGCTCATCAGAAAGGTTTTGCCGGGGTGGGGGGTGGGTGAGTGTCATAGGCATATATTTTTTCAGGGATCTCCTAGCGTGACCTGAACTCGAGACACCTTAAAGGGCTTCACGGAATATACTGTAAAGTGAATTGACTGTGTATTTTGTGGGCGAAACGCAGCAGCCGATTGCGCACAGCAGCGTCCCCCACAAACAGCAGTGGATTGAGCGACCAAATTATTATTATTTTACTTATTTATTTCATTTGAAGGGGTTATTTCCCCCGGAAAAGCAATCAGCCAATCGACTGACGTTACCCTACGTGGGGGGAGGCGGGGGGGGGGGGGGGGGCGCAAGTCGTTGCTGCGCTGAAGGATCTCCTCCTTGTTAAAACTGTGGATAAGGCACTGTCCCTGTGTGGGGTGGTTGGGTTCCCATTCGAAGCTCTCGCCAGCCGCAGCATGTACCTTTCCCTTATCCTGCAGGCACATCATGAGAGTGCAGACATCCCCCGTTGACTGATGGTTCACCAGGACCATGGTTTCCTCTTCAGTAATTCCTCTCACGTCATCTCCCCACTCCACCACTGGAAGAAGGAAAGCACATTATTCACAGCATGACACCAGAGAACCGTCAAACCAACTTCCTCCACTGTTTCCCAACACCTTGCGCGTGGGCACACGCGCGCACACACGCACACATGCAGAAAATAATTCGAGCAGCAATCCAAGCATACAAAAAAGAGCCACCGTTTGAGGCGGGTGGGTGGGTGGGTGGGTGGGGGGGGGGGGATTGGGGAGAAAATAAAAAGGCAGTGCTTGAACTGATTCATTTCTCCTGGTCATACACAGTATGTTACGATTTTTGGGGGGCGTTTTTGAACCCCCCCCCACCCCATCACCCCAACGAAAAAAACCATACAATATAAATAAATGCACTTCACACAACGGTGTGAAATCCAATTAAACTAATGGCCGCGCCATAAATACCTGTCGTGAAAACCAGCAAGATTCACGGATATCGGGGAACAAGGAAATTTCAACTAAACTGGTTCCGGTTAACAGCTAAAGTGTGACCAGTTACTTACTCTCCCTCCCTCCCTCCCCTCTCTGAACACCCAGAGATATTATCCCGCGTGAAACATGCTGTATAAAGTTCTTTCCCAATATATTACTTACTCTCCCCTCCACCACCATCACCTCAGTATATAATTCCCTCTTCCCTCCCACCACAGTATACTCCCCCTGCCATGTATTTCTTTTCCCCCCACCTCGATTTCAATTTGGTCACTCAGTCCACGACTGTTTGTCAGGGGCAGTGCTGCGTGCAAATGGCTGCTGCGTTTTTGCCCGCAAAGTACATAAGTCGCTATACTTTCCGGCACATCCTTTGAGACGTCCCAACGACGTGATAAGGCGCTACATCAAGCGCAAGGATTATTATAACAATGCATTTCTCATTCTCCTACCACCGCCTCCCCGTCCTTCGGGTCACCCTCTTCCAGGGCACAGACCAAGATCTGAACAAAAAAAAGCCTCGATGCTTTTTACAAGCATGTCTTTTGGGTTTAATGCCGTGCCTCTGGCTGCAGAGAGCAGGCTTTGAAGTGGCAGCAAAGGAGAAGTGGACGTGCTTGAGCCTGGCTTAGTAAATCCAATAAAATGCCTTCAATTATTCACATCCACAAAGGATCTCCTTCAAAATGTCATCACTGCTGCAACCTCAGTAGATGAGGAAAAGGATAGAAGGGCAGAGGGTGGAACCCCGAGGAAAGTCATTTGTGACGTGGCCTAACACACTGAAACACACGTCTGTGGAACGAAAGCTTATTTTTCCTCCATAAGAGCTGTAACTCTCAGGCTGGGCAGAGCCGAGGATTCCAGGCTGTCAGGCTGATGGTTTGCTTCGCTCGAACGTGCTTTGGTTGATAAAAAAAAACCCAACCGAAAAAAGCTTTCAGTTGACTCCATTAGACTGGTGCAGAGGAGATCTCGTTTACACTGTAAAGATCTCTTGTACAATAACAGTGAGCGTCACGTACTAGGTTTCTGTTCAAGAAGCCACAGCGACCACTGCCATGTCCAGCTTTCACCAGGAGAACCACATCTCCCTTCACCCCTTCCCCGCCCTAATTAAACAATACCCAGACACGGGAAAGATTCCCTTTCTAACCCGGCAGAAGCCACAACGTCCCCACTTCATCAGCCCCAGCGCTGCTCTCTGAAGCCTGGCTCGGCGGCTCGGCACACAAGATCCATTGAACAACACACCATGAATTGAAGACCATGTTTATCAGGCGGCTTCCTGAATGGTTAATGCAGAGAAACTAAGGAAAGCATCAAAGTTAGACGCGGTGAATTGCCTCATTCGACTCAGAATGACCACCCCACTGCCTCCCCCGGACCCCACACACACACACACACCCCCCACCCTGTAGCGTACTGGTTAGAGCACTCGCCTCGCAAGTGAGAGAACTCAGGCAGTGCGAAACCTTAAGGTAAGTTTCCTTAATTCCACACACCTGGTTACCTAGCAGTCAGCGGGAGCCGGTTGTTAGTCGATTGGCGGATCGCTTACCAGGGACAATAATCCCATTCAAAAAAAAATGTGCTCACTCAATCCACGACCGTTTGTGGGGACGCTGCTGTGCGCAATTGGCTGCCGCGTTTCGCCCACCAAATATACAGTCAATTCACTTTACAGTATATGCTGTGAAGCGCTTTGAGACGCATCAGCAAGATTATAATGCAAGGATTATGATGGGATTATTATTATTATGGTATAAATCTCATTGCTCACCGTAATCAGAGTCACCAAAACAAAACGTTTTTCACTTAACCTTGGCTTCAGCAGCTGGCCGCAAGCTTCATCTGAGTGAAAATAATATTTCTGGTGGCATTTTTTAAGTGGTGAGGTGGTGGGTGGAGGTGTGGGGGCAGAGGAAAGGTTTTGTAAAGTGCATCAGTAAATTAGACAGCGATGTAGAGCGCCACCACCACCAACAACGACGACGACAAGATTACATTTGTATAGCGCCTTTCACGTCGGGAGGGACGTCCCAAGACACTGAACAGTGACAGCATTTCAGATCCGAGCTGGGGTTGGGGTTGGGGGGAGAGAAGGAAGGGGAGGGGAAGGGGGGTGGTCGATGGCACGGTCAAAGAGGAGGGTTTTGAGGCGGGACTTGGAGGAGGCTAAGGAGGGGGCGAGGCGGAGTGATTGGGGGGTGGAATTCCAGAGGTTGGGGGCAGACTGGCTGAAGGAGTCAAGGAGCCAGATGGCCAGCCAAGGCCAGAGGAAAGCAGCGATGTTGCACAACTTAATAAAAAAAAGCAAAATTCCTCTGAAAGCAAGCGCTCCGAGGCCCCGTCCGGCGCGAAGGGGGGGCTATTTAATGCAAGTTGCTGCTGTTACATTTGTGCTGAAAGACGAACAGTAAACACTGTACCGATTTCTACACCGATACCTAGCAAAAGGCATTTTAATAATAATAATAAGCCTTGCATTTGATATAGCACTTTTCACGTCTTCTCGACGTCTCAAAGCGCTTCGCAGAACAGACTTGAAATCATTTTCCACAGCTCGCTCCATTAAGGGCCATAAACAATAATCTAAGAGGCACAGGTTCCAACAATACAGTGCATCGCAAAGTCACTGGTGCACTTTGAACCACCAAATCATCGATAAGGAGTCTCACACCCAACGCTATTTTGCTGCACAAAGGGCTTACAGGCTGAAGGCAACTAAATAAGTGGAGTGTAAACGTCCAGAGGTCCACATATACACAGACTCAATTCGAAAAAGATAAGGGAGCTTCTCCCTGTGTCTTGGCCAAGCCCAGCACATTCAGAAAGAGCAGACAAGTCTAAGTCTGCATGTGTTAAAAGACTGACTCGTGCTATCGACAGTACCATCTGTCCCTGAGTGCCGAGTGTCTTTATAAGGACATAGACTGGAGAGACGAGGGGGGGAAACGCATCAGAGTTTTTTTTAAAACATAAAACAGAAGCTCTCAAATTGTAGCTTCACTCTCTGCGGCAATACTTGATCCAAGATTTCTTTTAAAAAAATATGTTTGATTTGTCAAGACTGAAGCCTTTTGTTTGGTGGGAAATATTGGAATGTGTCAGACAAGAAAAGTCCACCATCTGATCAGTCCCAAAGGTTTTTTTTAAAAAAAGAAAAATCTACTAACTCTTGGGCAAAAGAAGTGATAAGGCGCTGCATCAAATGCAATTCAGGTACTGTCTGCCTGGCTCAGGTGGACGTTTAAAAGTTCCACGAATCGTTTTGAAAAAGATGAGGGAGTTTTTCCTGGTGTCCTGGTCAATCTATTCCCCAGATGAAACTGGTCATTCACTCTCCACTTCACGGCACGTTGCTGTGCGCAAATGGATCGTGGTGTTCGCCAACAAATACGCAGCGGTTACACTTCACAGTGCATCTTTTAACCCCACATCCTTCTGATTCATGTTGAAGTGAAGAGCTTTAAATGTGACGTAACAGGCATAATAATAACAATAATAATAATCTTTGCATTGGATGTAGCGCTTTTCACGTCTTCTCGACGTCTCAAAGCGCTTCACAGATGACGCTGTAAAGCGAATTGACTGTATATTTGTAGGCGAAACGCGGCAGCCAATTGCGCACGGCAGCGTTCCCCCACAAACAGTGGTGGATTGAAAATGACCAATTTATTATTGTTTTGTTTTTTGGAGGGATTATGATCAGGCTCTCTGTGGAGTAAGGAAACTTGCCCGAGGATTTGCTCTGCCTGGAATTGAACCCAGGTGTCTCGCTTGCAAGGCGAGTGCTCTGACCACTGAGCTACAGGACTCCACAATGCAAGGATTAATTATTATTATATTTAGAGTGCTGTGGCGTATTGATTAGAACAAGCGAGAGGACCCGGGTTCGATTCCCGGGCAGGGCGTAACCTTAGGCAAGTTTCCCTACTCCTCTGTTTACCTAACAGTCAGCAGGAACCCGTTTGTTAAATTGATTGGTCGATCGGTTTTCCGGGGCTAATAATCCCTTCAAAAATAATAATAATAATAATTCGGTCACTCACTCCACGACTGTTTACGGGACACGGCGCGTTTCGCCCAGAAAAAAATATACAATTCACTTTACGGTATATTATGCTGTGAAGCGTTTTAAGACGTCTCAACAATGCGATAAGACGCACAAAAGAAAACATATAGTCAGTTCACTTTATAGTGTATTCTGTGAAGTGTTTTTTGACATCCAGAAAATGTGATAAGACGCTATATCAAATGCAAGGATTATTATTATTATTAATTATTATTATTATTATAAGTCCTATTATTTAAGTGAAGGTCTCTCACTGTTGCCCTATGCCTCCACACTTCCTCCTGTAGCTGCCAGTCATGAAGGCGAAATCTCCATTAAAAGGCGAACAGATCGGAGCTAGATATTTTTTTTCCAACCAAAAAAAACCCAACCCAATTGGAAGGGAAAGGTTTCGCCTGCTGACACTCTGTGACTGACTGATAAGAAAGTGACTGGCCACAAAGGTTGCCTCCCTCTCTCATGCTCCTTAAGTAGAGAAAGAGGTAACCAAGT